TAGTCTAGTCTATATCTAGTCTATATCTAGTCTATAGTCTAGTCTATAGTCTAGTCCTTAGTCTAGTCTATAGTCTAGTCTATAGTCGATATAGTCTAGTCTATAGTCCTAGTCTATAGTCTAGTCTATAGTCTAGTCTATAGTCTAGTCTATAGTCTAGTCTATAGTCTAGTCTATAGTCTAGTCTATAGTCTAGTCTTAGTCTAGTCTATAGTCCAGTCTATAGTTAGTTCATAGTCTAGTCTATAGTCTAGTCTATAGTCTAGTCTATAGTCTAGTCTATAGTCTAGTCTATAGTCTAGTCTATAGTCTAGTCTATAGTCTAGTCTATAGTCTAGTCTATAGTCTAGTCTATAGTCTAGTCTATAGTCTAGCTATAGTTAGTCTATGTCTAGTCTATAGTCTAGTCTATAGTCTAGTCTATAGTCTAGTCTATAGTCTAGTCTATAGTCTAGTCTATAGTCTAGTCTATAGTCTAGTCTATAGCTAGTCTATAGTCTAGTCTATAGTCTAGTCTATAGTCTAGTCTATAGTCTAGTCTATAGTCTAGTCTATAGTCTAGGTCTATAGTCTAGTCTATAGTCTAGTCTATAGTCTAGTCTATAGTCTAGTCTATAGTCTAGTCTATAGTCTAGTCTATAGTCTAGTCTATAGTCTAGTCTATAGTTAGTCTATAGTCTAGTCTATAGTATAGTCTATAGTCTAGTCTATTAGTCTAGTCTATAGTCTAGTCTATAGTCTAGTCTATAGTCTAGATTCTATAGTCTAGTCTATAGTCTAGTCTATAGTCTAGTCTATAGTCTAGTCTATAGTCTAGTCTATAGTCTAGTCTATAGTCTAGTTATAGTCTAGTCTATAGTCTAGTCTATAGTCTAGTCTATAGTCTAGTCTATAGTCTAGTCTATAGTCTAGTCTATAGTCTAGTCTATAGTCTAGTCTATAGTCTAGTCTATAGTCTAGTCTATAGTCTAGTCTATAGTCTAGTCTATAGTCTAGTCTATAGTCTAGTCTATAGTCTAGTCTATAGTCTAGTTATAGTCTAGTCTATAGTCTAGTCTATAGTCTAGTCTATAGTCTAGTCTATAGTCTAGTCTATAGTCTAGTCTATAGTCTAGTCTATAGTCTAGTCTATAGTCTAGTCTATAGTCTAGTCTATAGTCTAGTCTATAGTCTAGTCTATAGTCTAGTCTATAGTCTAGTCTATAGTCTAGTCTATAGTCTAGTCTATAGTCTAGTCTACAGTCTAGCTAGTCTATAGTTTAGTCTATAGTCTAGTCTATAGTCTAGTCTATAGTCTAGTCTATAGTCTAGTCTATAGTCTAGTCTATAGTCTAGTCTATAGTCTAGTCTATAGTCTAGTCTATAGTCTAGTCTATAGTCTAGTCTATAGTCTAGTCTATAGTCTAGTCTATAGTCTAGTCTATAGTCTAGTCTATAGTCTAGTCTATAGTCTAGTCTATAGTCTAGTCTATAGTCTAGTCTATAGTCTAGTCTATAGTCTAGTCTATAGTCTAGTCTATAGTCTAGTCTATAGTCTAGTCTATAGTCTAGTCTATAGTCTAGTCTATAGTCTAGTCTATAGTCTAGTCTATAGTCTAGTCTATAGTCTAGTCTATAGTCTAGTCTATAGTCTAGTCTATAGTCTAGTCTATAGTCTAGTCTATAGTCTAGTCTATAGTCTAGTCTATAGTCTAGTCTATAGTCTAGTCTATAGTCTAGTCTATAGTCTAGTCTATAGTCTAGTCTATCTAGTCTAGTCTATAGTCTAGTCTAGTCAGTCTATAGTCTAGTCTATAGTCTAGTCTATAGTCTAGTCTATAGTCTAGTCTATAGTCTAGTCTATAGTCTAGTCTATAGTCTAGTCTATAGTCTAGTCTATAGTCTAGTCTATAGTCTAGTCTATAGTCTAGTCTATAGTCTAGTCTATAGTCTTCTAGTCTATTCTAGTCTAGTCTATAGTCTAGTCTATAGTCTAGTCTATAGTCTAGTCTATAGTCTAGTCTATAGTCTAGTCTATAGTCTAGTCTACAGTCTAGTCTATAGTTTAGTCTATAGTCTAGTCTATAGTCTAGTCTATAGTCTAGTCTAAAGTCTAGTCTACAGTCTAGTCTAAAGTCTGGACTATAGTCTAGTCTAAAGTCTGGACTATAGCCTAGTCAGTAGTCTAGTATAATCTAGTTTAGTCTAGTCTATAATCTAGTCGTCGATTTCAAAAGAATATATATATCAAACTCCACTCACCTTCCATGCGGCCCACATTAATGCCGTCATACCACCACGATCCTGTAAATCCGGATCAACACCCTTGGCTATGAAATACGCCACCAGAGCGGTATGTGCAAATTGTGCTGCAATGTGTATGCACGAACAACCCTCCGCATCGCGAATACGCGGATCGGCACCAGCCGCCATTAGGAGGACAACAGCACCTAAATGACCTTGTCTTGTGGCCCAATGCAGAGGTGTTGCATTAAGTTCACCACCCAATGCATCAACTACAGCCCCTTTTTCCAAAAAGTACTTAATTATATCACGGCGATTATTGATGGCAGCCCAATGCAATAAAGTAACCGTTTCACTGTCCGGCTGATTAACATCCCAACCGGATTCCACTAATTCCTTAACTCTGGCTGTAGCACCATACTGAGTGGCTTTAACAATGTCAAAACCACTGTAGTCAGGTTCAATGGGTGCACTTGGTGGCTGTTGAGCCATTAAGGCACCCAGCCGTTCGGCTTCACGCTCTGCCTCTGTGTTGGGGGCACAAGACCCGGTCGTCGCTGCATTGCATGCACTTTGATACATGTTTTGTGGTTTCTTAAACATTTCTTTTAGTATTTGGTTGATATTCTTTTTAGGTTTTCTTTAATTTTTGATTATTCAATAGTCACAAAAAAAAACTTTTTTTTGCAACTCTTTTAGAGGATATTTTATGGTGCAAATGGTGATTCACCCACCTCCTCTTTTTTATTTATTACGTACCCTTGCACGATTTTTTTTACCGATATTCTCACTTTAAAACATTTTTGTTTTTATTGTTTTTTGTTCTTAACTTTAGTTTACACTTTTATCTTAGACTTGTGATTAATTATTTGTAATTTTCTTTATATTTTATGTGGATTTTTTCACAAAAATTATGGCTTTTTTATCGCCCCGAAGAAGAAAAACTTTTTCTCAGCAGTAAATTTTCTTAACATGACAGTTGTGGTGACATTAGAATCTCTGTGTGATGACAATTTTGTGTTTAGTTGACAGAATTATCGCAAGAGGGAGCAAGATTATAAAAGTACTAACAGCTTAGCGATTAAAAAAATTAATTTAATTGAATTATTTTTCCTCAGATATTGTATATTCTGAGAAAATAATGCTAATCCTGGATAGTTCTGAACCAAGTTTTATAAGTTATAGTTTGGAATGTTTACACTGCCAGTTGTGTTGACCACAAAAGCATTTCTAAATAAATCGCTAGAATTTAGCTGAGAAATCCATAAAGTAAAATCACTGAACTTGACAAATTTGTAAATAGCTAAGTTTACAACACTATTAGCCGCGCAAAAACGTTTTGATATTTTTGTTCGGTGTTTGTAATTTTTGCGAAATTAATTACAGAAAACAAACGCAAACAAAGATTTTTTTATAAACAATATCAACAAAAAAATGTTTTAAAACTTTATAAAATCAAAACAATTATTTAAAAACTTTTTTAATAAAAATGAGTAATTTTGCTAACAAAAGAAAATTTGCTGGAGCAGCAGCCACAAATGGGGCACCTAAAAAGCCCAGGTAAGCTTAATAATTTATAAAACATTAAAATTTATTAAAAATTCGTCTAATTTGTCGCAGAAATTACGATGACGAAGATGATGATATGGGCGGAGGTGGTTTTGAAGTTGATTTCAACAATGATGACATGGACATGACCCAGTTGATGGGTGAGGGTCCAGAAAATCAACAGACCTCTGTCAAATGGTCTCGCGTAGATCCTCCTGAACTAGATTGTGAAACAGATGCTTTAATATTTCAACAAATAGATATTGAAAACTACATAGGAGCTCCTCTGCCGGGCATGCCCGGTGCTCGCATGGGTCCAGTACCGGTTATACGCATGTATGGCATAACCATGGAGGGTAATTCTGTGTGTTGTCATGTCCATGGCTTTTGTCCGTATTTCTATTTGGCTGCCCCCAAAGGCTTCGAGCAGAAACATTGTCATGAACTAAGATCGGCCTTGGATAAGAAGGTTTTGGCTGACATGCGTGGCGGCAACAAGGATAATGTACAGGAGGCGGTTTTAAGTGTGGAATTGATAGAACGTTTAAATATTTACGGCTATCAGGGGGATAGCAAGCAGAAATATATCAAAATAACTCTTTCGCTGCCCAAATTTGTGGCTGCCGCTTCACGTTTATTGAAGAAAGAAGTTATTTACAATGAATTTGATTTCCAGGATTGTCGTGCCTTTGAGAATAACATAGATTTTGATATACGTTTTATGGTGGACTGTGATGTAGTGGGTTGTAATTGGATAGAACTGCCTGCAGGCTCATGGCGTCAAAGGGGACGCAATTCCAAACCTCTACCCGAAAGTCGTTGCCAGTTGGAGGTAGATGTTGCGTTTGATAAATTCATATCTCATGAGCCAGAAGGTGAATGGAGTAAAGTGGCTCCTTTTCGCATATTATCCTTTGACATAGAATGCGCTGGTCGCAAGGGCATATTTCCTGAGCCTAAAATCGATCCTGTTATACAAATTGCCAATATGGTGATCAGACAAGGTGATCCCGAGCCCTTTATACGCAATGTTTTTACATTGAAAACCTGTGCTCCCATAGTGGGCAGCCAGGTTTTATGTTTTGATACTGAAAAAGAACTGCTAGATAAATGGTCTAGTTTTGTGCGTGAGGTTGATCCAGATATATTAACCGGTTATAATATCAATAATTTTGACATTCCCTATCTGCTGAATCGCGCCGCTCATCTGAAAGTGCAAAACTTTGAATTTTTGGGTAGAATTAAGAATATACGTTCGGTTATCAAAGAACAAGTTCTGCAATCTAAACAAATGGGTCGTCGTGAAAATAAATATGTAAATTTTGAGGGTAGAGTTCCCTTTGATTTGCTGTTTGTACTGCTAAGAGATTACAAGCTAAGATCCTATACTCTCAACGCTGTGAGTTATCAGTTTTTGCAAGAACAAAAGGATGATGTTCACCACAGCATTATCACCGATTTGCAGAATGGTGATGAGCAAACTCGTCGTCGTTTGGCCATGTATTGCCTTAAGGATGCCTATTTGCCTTTAAGACTTCTCGATAAACTTATGTCTATTGTCAACTATATGGAAATGGCCAGAGTAACGGGAGTTACCTTAGAATCTCTACTCACTAGAGGCCAACAGATTAAGGTGTTGTCTCAGTTGTTGCGCAAAGCCAAAACTAAAGGTTTCATTATGCCCTCTTATTCGTCTCAGGGATCGGATGAACAGTATGAAGGCGCCACGGTTATTGAACCCAAAAGAGGTTATTATGCCGATCCTATATCAACACTTGATTTTGCTTCTCTATATCCTAGTATAATGATGGCCCATAATTTGTGTTATACCACGCTCTTGCAACCGGGCATGAAAGATAAATTGGGTTTAAGTGATAAAGATTATGAGAAAACACCCTCCAATAACACCTTTGTCAAGGCCACCGTCCGTCGTGGTTTATTGCCGGAAATTTTGGAATCTTTATTGGCTGCTCGTAAAAGAGCCAAAAACGATTTAAAAGTGGAAACTGATCCCTTCAAACGCAAAGTGTTGGATGGTCGTCAATTGGCTTTGAAAATATCTGCTAATTCTGTATATGGTTTCACAGGAGCCCAGGTGGGTAAGCTACCTTGTTTGGAAATTTCTGGTTCGGTTACCTCTTATGGTCGCACCATGATTGAGCTTACCAAAAATGAGGTAGAATCTCATTATACACGAGCCAATGGTTATGAAAATGACGCTGTAGTTATTTATGGTGATACTGATTCAGTAATGGTTAACTTTGGCGTTAAATCGCTGGAAAGAAGTATGGAATTGGGTAAGGAGGCAGCCGATTTGGTATCAGCGAAATTTGTTAGACCCATTAAATTGGAATTCGAAAAGGTGTACTATCCTTACTTGCTGATCAATAAGAAAAGATATGCCGGTTTGTATTTTACACGACCAGAAACCTACGACAAAATGGATTGTAAAGGTATTGAGACAGTGCGTCGTGATAATTCTCCTTTGGTGGCTAATCTCATGAATACTTGCTTGCAAAAGTTGCTAATTGAAAGAAATCCTGATGGAGCGGTTGAATATGTTAAACAAGTTATATCGGATTTACTGTGTAATCGCATAGACATTTCACAGTTGGTTATTACCAAGGAATTGGCCAAGACCGATTATGCTGCCAAACAGGCTCATGTGGAGCTGGCTGCAAAAATGAAGAAAAGAGATCCTGGCACGGCACCCAAATTAGGAGATCGTGTTCCCTATGTTATATGTGCAGCAGCCAAAAATACACCAGCCTATGCTAAAGCTGAAGATCCCTTATATGTGCTAGAAAACAGTGTACCTATAGATGCCAATTATTATTTAGAACAACAGTTATCCAAACCTTTACTAAGGATATTCGAACCTATTTTAGGAGATAAAGCGGAATCGATTTTATTAAGTAAGTTAAATACAATCTAAAACTATAAACAATTTTATTTTATTTTACAATTTTTAGAGGGTGAACATACCCGCACTCGCACAGTGGTCACCTCCAAAGTAGGTGGTTTGGCGGGCTTTATGACGAAAAAATCTTCCTGTTTGGGTTGCAAATCTCTAATGCCCAAAGGCTATGAAAATGAACCGTTGTGTCCTCATTGCAAACCTAAAATGGGTGAATTATATATGAAGGAAGTAGTGGCCAAACGCCAGATGGAAGAGAAATTTGCCCGCTTATGGACAGAATGCCAAAGATGTCAGGGTTCATTGCATGAAGAAGTATTATGTTCCAATCGTGATTGTCCCATTTTCTATATGAGACAAAAGATACGTATGGATTTGGATACACAGGAAAAACGAGTACGACGTTTTGGTTTACCCGAGTGGTGAAAGGATATTTAAGAAATATCTAGTTTTTTGAAGAAGTGAATGATTTTGTTTTTGTTTGTTACATTTTTTTGAACTGTGTCCGACTATATATTTAGTGCGCATCAAAATAAAAAAGGAGATAATTATTTTTATTACTCGTATAATGGTAAAATAATAGTGTTTGATTAAAAATAATTGAAATAATCTTACAAAGTGTCTATGGCTGTGACAGTGTGAAGTTAAACAGCCTTTAAATATCTGCAAAGGATTAGCTGCAAATCATCTGATACGATGCTTTAACAATATAAACCAGTAAATCGAAATAAAAAGAAAAAAGGTTATGGAAAGACTGATGTTAAATGATGCATCCACTTTTGAAAAGAGTAAACTTTGGAATACCTGTTCACAAACGTCAACTTTTTTATTATAATTACTCTAATATTAAATTTATTGTATTACTTTCTTATATGTTTTACTAAATTTAAGTATAAAAAAAGTTTTCTATGAAATACTAAAATCTTAAAAGGGGAGGAGAGTGAGGGGTATAAAAGTGTTTAGGGCTTTCTTCAACGTATAAAGTGTTTCGCCATAACAGAAAGGACACCACAAGACAAATACAGGTTTTTATTATAAACTTGTTTATGATTTTGTTGTTGTTTTTTAATTGCATATTTATAATTACTTAAAATTACAAACAAAAAATGTAGAAGGAATCGTTAGGTTGTACAGGAGTACAGAAATTAAACAAAATAAAATTTAATTTTTTTTTTTTCTTTGACATAATTGAATACGAAAGGTATAGGTTTTTTTTGCTTTCATTCTTTTTGGAGAGGGGAACTATATATGGGAGGAAAAGAGATGTAGTAGAGGTTAAGTAAATACGACTATTTACGACTTTGTAGAGTATTGGAAAGCCAATCCATAGCTTGATCAAGGCCTTCACCCTTAGTCGCAGAGGTTTTGAAAATTTGGAAAGTACGATTTTTTAGATTTTCCAAACCTAAAGCATGATGAACTTCAGCAACAGTCATACAGCCTTCCATATCTTGTTTATTGGCTAATACTACCAAAACGGCACCGGCAAGTTCTTCTTCCTGGAAAATTATTAAATAAAATCATTACTCTGTTATATATTTCATCTTCATTAATTAATAATTACCCTTAACATGTATAAAAGCTCATCTTTGGAAATGCCTATTCTATCACGATCTGCAGAATCTACCACATAAATTATAGCATCTGTATTGCTATAATAACAACGCCAGTAGGGTCTTTAACAAAAATATTTATTAGTTTAGTTAAATTTCTTTAAAATTTAGTTTTTCTTACCTTATACTTGTCTGTCCACCCAAATCCCATACTTGGAATTTCAAATTTTTATATGTCACCTGTTCCACATTAAAACCAATCGTTGGTATAGTGGTCACCACTTCTCCCACTTGTAGTCTATACAATATTGTTGTTTTGCCAGCACCATCTAGACCCAATATCAATATACGCATTTCACGCGAACCCAGTAAACCACGAAAATAACTTAATACTCCTCCTAGAGGGGATTATATAGAAACAATAGACAAGAAAACATATTTTATCCTTTTTTTGCCCCAAAAGGTTGACTCACTACGTCACTTTTTGTGTTTTAATTTCTTATTATGTTTTATCTTAATTACATTTATTTTTCTACTAACCCATATTTTTCCTTATTAATAATTTAAAGTTGTATTGGAAATGTTGTTTTTCTTCTTTTCTTTACTTTTTTACAGATATTTTTATTAATTTTTCCTTAAAAATATGCAAAAAAAATTTATCGGCTGGCCAATATATTTTCCTATTTTTTTCGTTTTAATAAACTGTCAAAATTGAAACGGTTAAGAAAGAGAGGAGAAATGTCATGACTAGAAAAAATGACAACAAATCGAAAGAGGGGAAAGAGTTTTTCAAACGGTTATGACGTGTCGGCATATTGTAAGGCTACCATATGGTGGGGGAAATTTTTAATTTATTGAAAATTAGAAAATTTGGAATATTTTCTATTTAAAGTAGGATTTTTTAATAAAAATTTTTAAATTTTAATTGCTTAAGATTGTAAGTTGCAAAATACTTTAAAGTGGATGTTCAACCAATTATTTGGGCAATACTCTCTTTATTATACTGCTATAGAAATAATAAAAAGCTATTTGAAGTAGGAGAAATATGTAATGTTATTTAATTTATATTAAAATTTAGAAAAAGCGTTATTTTGCATTTAATTGGTATTTAAATTAAAACAGTTTTGAAAATTCTTCATCATTTCCCGTTTCTTTACGTTTTAAACTCATTAATTTAACAACATACTGGCAACTCTAATACAAAACCGCAAAATATTGCCATATTATATAAATTTTCAATAAATGTGTAGGGCATAGCTTCGCCTTGATAAACAACTGAAAAAATGAAATTCAAAAAGTCACCAAAAAATCTGGGATTATTGAACAAAAATTGTATATTATAGTTTTTATAAAAAAAATTTGGAGATATTTTTAATATATTTTTATTGGTCTTCGCTACGGACCCCCATTTTGGAACCGTTGCTCTAACAGCAGCGAGAAGACAAGCACTTGACTGGAAATGTCACACAATTGAAATTAATTTACAGTGCAGCAGGGTGTGATTGTGTCTGCAAAATAATGATCATAATAAAACTTGATGAAAGGATTTGTTTTTAACTTGTAAGAATTAATCAAATTAAAATTGATTTTTTTTTTTATTTTTAAAATTTTTTCCCATCCTTGCATAATTTTGTGCTTGCTCTATTTTACTGTTATAAATTATATACAAAATCCCACTTTTTTATCTCTCGGATTCCGTTTTTATTTAAAATCTTTGAAAATTTAAAAATTAAGCGTATTGAAAATTTAGCCGGCCTACAGTCGACCGTTAATATTTGTCGGCGCAGAGCTCTGCTGCCAACTCCAGAGATGCCAGCCGATGCAAAATGATCGGCGGTGGCGACCCAACAATTTTAGGTCGGCGGCGACGGCTTGTTACAGAAAATATCGGCACCGGCTAAATTGTCGGCTCAATTTAACTTTTTTTTCAAAAATTGACCTTATAAGCGTTTATTATATTGAAAAATCTCTGTATAATAGTACGTTATATAGAAACCTGTCTCTATATAAGTTTTTTCTGCAGAAAATGGACATTATTATAGTAGTTTTCACTATTTTAATATTAGTACAATATTGTGCGGCAACTCTTTTCAATTTGCCATAAGAATTTGAAATAGTGGCAACTCCGTTCAAATTGGTGAAATTATTTTCTGAAATACCTGTGTGATTCCAATCTTTATCAGCGGTTACGTTTAGGCCGGCTTAAGCGACATGGCTACACATCAAATTTTTTGACTCAACCGGAAAGTTTTTTAATTGTGTTAGTGAAAAGAACTCACATGTATAAATGCGGTGTGAGTTTTTTTTTACTAACCCTATCAAAAAACTTACCGTTTGAGTCAACAAATTTGATATGTGGCCATGTCGCTTTAGCTTTTGAGCCGAAAGAAGTTAGCGGCGGCGCGGCTTGTAAAATATTACCGCCGGCCAGCCGCCGCCGATTTGAACCGTCTCGGCTTGTATCTCTGGTCGCGTCGTATGAAAAGTGTTAATCTTTTTGCATTTTTGTGAAAATTATAAATTTTCTTTAAAAAATCTAAATAAAACACACTAAATTAAATAAAATATTAAAATTAAGTGTTAAATAAATATAATTTTAAAAGAATTTTATCAAAATTTTATGAATTAAATATAAAAAATCGTGAGAAAAAAATACAAAGCGGCTTTGGTGGTGGTGGTTGTGTGTGAGTGATTGCTGTAAAGTGTATAACACGAAAGTTTTTTTCTTTTCGCAGAAAAGTAAATTTTTTTCTTTCTAAATTGTGGAATTAACAAGTTTGAACAATAAGAAAAAGTAAAAAAATGACTTCGCCTTCACCGGCGAATAGTCCTATGCCCCCGCCACAGGCTCCGAGCCCCATGGGACCACCTTCCCAAAGTCCGGCTCCGTCACCCTCGCCACACAGCCCCTATACACATCCACCACAGCAAGGCCCTGGCGGTCCACCTGGACCTCAGGGTCATCAAGGACCGCCACATGGTCCACCTCATATGCAAGGTCCACCACCGGGAGCGGGTCAACATGGTCCACCTCCTCCTGGTCATCCTGGAGGTCCTTATGGCCATCCAATGCAACATGGACCTCCTCATGGACCCCCTCATGGTGGTCCTCAACATGGTCCCATGCCTACACAGCAACATGGTGTGGTATCACAGCATGGACCACCTCCTCCGGGTCAACATGGTCCACCAGGACAGCAAGGAGGTCCGCCAACAGGACCTCCAATGGGTCATGGTCCGCCACCACATGGTGGTCCGCCTCATGGTATGCCTCAACAACAGCCTGGATCACAAGGTGGTCCTCCACCCCACTTAAATGGTCCGCCCGGACAAGGGCCGCCAGGTCCTCAAGGACATCATATGCCGCCACATCATCAAGGCATGGGTAAATACTCAAAAACACATAATTATCAGAGAAGTTTTTTATACAACAAAACTTTTGTTTCCAAATATTCCAGCTCCTCACATGGGCATGCAAATGCCTCCTCAAGGACCCAATATGCCACCCATGGGCTTTCAAACACACGGCATGCCACCCAATGTAAGTACATAGACTACTACTGTTCAATTAAATTAAGATTTTATTCTGAATACCAACATTTAAACAGTTGAGCAATATTCTTGCTCAACTAGCTGTTTTACTTCCTTCTAAAGCCCTTAGTCTTATTTAAAAAATCTCTTTTTCTTACTTAAATTCAAAATCAGTTAAAGCATCTGCTTCCTCAATTAACTCCTTCACCTCCTTTAATAGTTCCTTAGTGGAAGCACAAATCAAATCAGGTTTCATAATATTAAAAGGAGCCCCACTAGTATGAGTTATAAAACCACCAGCTTCAGTTAATATTATAGCACCGGCTGCTATATCCCAAGGCTGTAAATCCTCGACATGAAAACATTGAAAACTACCTTTGGCCACGTAACACATCATTAAAGCTGCACTACCCATACCACGTGTGCTAAAGTTATGAATGGGGAGAGTTTTATGAAGAAATTTTAATTGGAATTTTATATATGTAGACCACTTACCCAGTGCCGTTAGAGGCCAATTTGCATAAACGTTTAACATTTTTATCTCTTACCGCAGGCACATGTATCAATGAGATCTCAAAGCCTACAACGGCGTTTTTAATCTGTAGAAGGAATAATTTGGGGTTAACATTGATATTTTAAGCGTTTATCTAACTAGAAATTTTCGATTGAAGCTTAACTAGGGCTACATGAAAACATACAATTACAGCTGAATTATAACTACTATAAGATCTTAGATTAAAGCAGAACTGAAGTTACAGGTACAACTGAAACTAAATTAGGACTACTTTAAGGTCTACGATTAAATCTAAACTAGGGCTACTTAGATACCCTTGATTAACGCTAAACTTGGACTTCTTAAAGACGTACAATTGAATTTGAACTAATATTACTTTAAGAAATCGATTACACCTAAACTGGGACTAAATAAAGACTATATTGAGCTAAACTAGACCTTCAATTGATGATAAATTATGACTACTTAAAGTCATATAATTATTACTAGAACAAGGACTACTTTTAGATCTGTGGTTATTGCTGAAATGGAGTTAATTAAAGACCTTCGATTGAAGCTAAACTCGGAATACTTTAAGATGTACGATTAAAGCTAAAAAGGGGCTATTGAAACCCTTTGATTGAATATATGTATCTAGAACTACGTTAACAATATGGAATGAAGCTAAAAAACCTTACTAGAGCTTAGAGAGCTATAGAGATACTTTTTAAGGACCTAAGGTGAAGGTATATAGATACTTCTTAAAGGCCTAAACTGACGCTATAGAGATACTTCTTAAAGGCCAAAACTGAAGCTATAGAGATACTTCTTAAAGGCCAAAACTGAAGCTGTAGAGATACTTCTAAAAGGTCAAAACTGAATTTATAGAGATACTTCTTAAAAACCGAAACTGAAGCTATAACAGCAAATAGAATAGATAGATAATAGATAGATAGATAGATAGATAGATAGATAGATAGATAGATAGATAGATAGATAGATAGATAGATAGAGATAGATAGATAGATAGATAGATAGATAGATAGATAGATAGATAGATAGATAGATAGATAGATAGATAGATAGATAGATAGATAGATAGATAGATAGATAGATAGATAGATAGATAGATAGATAGATAGATAGATAGATAGATAGATAGATAGATAGATAGATAGATAGATAGATAGATAGATAGATAGATAGATAGATAGATAGATAGATAGATAGATAGATAGATAGATAGATAGATAGATAGATAGATAGATAGATAGATAGATAGATAGATAGATAGATAGATAGATAGATAGATAGATAGATAGATAGATAGATAGATAGATAGATAGATAGATAGATAGATAGATAGATAGATAGATAGATAGATAGATAGATAGATAGATAGATAGATAGATAGATAGATAGATAGATAGATAGATAGATAGATAGATAGATAGATAGATAGATAGAATAGATAGATAGATAGATAGATAGATAGATAGATAGATAGATAGATAGATAGATAGATAGATAGATAGATAGATAGATAGATAGATAGATAGATAGATAGATAGATAGATAGATAGATAGATAGATAGATAGATAGATAGATAGATAGATAGATAGATAGATAGATAGATAGATAGATAGATAGATAGATAGATAGATAGATAGATAGATAGATAGATAGATAGATAGATAGATAGATAGATAGATAGATAGATAGATAGATAGATAGATAGATAGATAGATAGATAGATAGATAGATAGATAGATAGATAGATAGATAGATAGATAGATAGATAGATAGATAGATAGATAGATAGATAGATAGATAGATAGATAGATAGATAGATAGATAGATAGATAGATAGATAGATAGATAGATAGATAGATAGATAGATAGATAGATAGATAGATAGATAGATAGATAGATAGATAGATAGATAGATAGATAGATAGATAGATAGATAGATAGATAGATAGATAGATAGATAGATAGATAGATAGATAGATAGATAGATAGATAGATAGATAGATAGATAGAT